TTTTATTTCCTATTTAATAGTCATGAATTCTGTTTATTAGTATGTACAGTATTATCCTTCAATAAATGACCATTATTATTATTAGAAATGAGCGGAAAGTTTTTCTGGAAACCAAAAATGTTATCATTTCCAATGTCCCCGATGGTTGCACGGAATGCGAAATCTGCTTTTCTTACTAAGCAGGAGCAAAGCAAAAAAGACAATAATTGTCTTTCATCAACAAATTTAAAACTTTTACCCTTTATTTCGCTAGCAGTATTACAATTTGGAGTAGGATTGTGAAGTTTTGGTGAGCTAGTAATTCGATTTTGTTAGCCAACGAGTCAAAAATGTGAGTCAAATCTCGAAAGAAAGAAATTTGTGATATAAGGAAGTAGCGAAATCGAGTCGAAGGCAAGAATCTAATATTTTCCATTGTAATGCAAGATACATAATCCTATTGGGTGATATATTGACTAAATGTGGTTTTTATTCAATGTTTTTATTCAAGGGTGATATGCAAGTATTTTTTCATCCAGCTTAAATTCCGAATATAATCGTTTTGAACTAAAAACGACACGTATATGGAGTATATTTTTAACTGATCTGATACTTATTATGGATTACTTCAGCGCCCAGTCATTTTTGACAGTTTGGAAAGTAAATTAAGCTCCTCTGCAGACAGTAATTAAACGGAACGCTTTAAAAGATACCAAAGTTTTTTTATCGAAAGCGCAAAAAGTAAGCAAAACTCCCTTCGTCACGTTCGAGCTTTATGTACGGACCATTAGCTTCAACAATTTATCCGAATATTAAATTGGCCGCTTCCCCATCGCCGTATATTTCGCAATTGAATTAAGGAAACCCCCGCAAAACAAAAGTCGAAAATGGGCAATATCGGGCGCGACGAATTACGATCGACAAATAAAATTCCAATTACAAAATGAAAACTTGTGCTTTGTGTCATTATTGCGAGTACCTACGTCGTGAAAGTTTTTCGAACGATGCTGTTTTCTCGTTCATTTTTGCGTCTCGAACTGATTGGCTTGCTTTTATGTCCTCGGGAAGTCTAATCGAATAATTTCATTTTACCAGTCCAAAGCGCACGAAAGTATACCTACCAACTTTTCCCTGAATATAATTTCGCTTATGCCATTGCAAAGACGTTTCGGCCAAACTAACAAAGAATTAAGAAATTGTACATTGCATAACGATACATTTCGCACAAGTGTGGAAATAGCATATCTTACAATAACATGTGGAAAGCAAAGGTACATGTACGTTTTGCTCTCGGCTGTATTTGTTGACATGTACCTAAACGAAATACATTTTGAAGTACAACATTTTTATAGTTTTGCTTCGATTTTGACAAAATTTGAAACTATAATGAGAGAACATATTCACATTTAAAAGACTAACGGCAAAACTTAAGGGAGATCTAAGTAAAGGAGCATTTTAATAACTAAGGCTTTGACCGTTAGTCGGCTCAAAACACATATGATTAAAAGGGAGCATATGCTAATACTTGCAAAATTCAAAGTAATTACTCTAAGGGTATGCATAAAACTGTAAGTAAATGCATTGCTACAATAAAACTTGAAAAATTATCGTATACAATAATGAAGTTAGACTTAGAGCATTTATAGCAATCTAGATACGGTTATGTTTCAATTTTAAATGTCATTATTAAGATCAACGCAGCAATTGTTTTTTACTTTCCTCGCTAGAGAGGAAAATTGCATTTTCTTCACCCTTTTTGGGGACGAAAGTAGTTGTTTCTAAACTAGTTTCATAAAAAAATTTTGTTGCAAAACTTCAGATTCGTGTTCAGCACACCAAAAAAAAACCTAAAATAAACCTCTAAAACCAATTACATCATAACTTTCAACTTCGAGTACTTTTCGTGCCCGATTCGACTAAACCTGAAGTACCACGGCTCTACCCTTTCCATGGACAGTGCTACACCCATGTGAAGTTGGTCCAGACCATATGAAATAATTTGACAAAAATGTGTTCACAGTTAGTGCTACGTTAGTGCTCTTTAACGCTCGAAGTTTATCGTTAGTGCTGCTACATAACTTGAAAAAAAAAGGGTCTAGGAAAGTTTACCGTAAAAACAGTTTACCGAAAAACAATTCACCGAAATGTCAATATACCGAAAAAACAATACGTCGAGTTTTAATTTACCGAAGAGCTGTTTTACCGAATCACACTTTACCGAAAATTTCTCCCGTTTTGAGAAAAAACAAGAACAAATCAAAAAACAAAAGAAAAAACGACAAAGGAATTCATTTCCGGAACAAAAGGCAACAAAATTTAAAAAACAAAAAACAAAAGAAAAAATGACAAAGGAATTCGTTTCTGACTTTCTAAACACACCAGCACTTTGAGCCGCAAGTCCTAAGCCTTGGTAAAGTGTGAAGGAAAAGCAATGTCATCTTGGACCTTTCCTGTTTAATAAATTGTACAGTACATTAACAATATTCCAAACTCCGACGTCTCGTTTAGTCGCAATTCGCGTTTGAAGTTTTGACCCAACCATCAGTAAGATCGTGGCCTTCATTTTTTTGGCCTACATTGCCAATTCACGAACTCCGATCTACAAATTTGATAAAGAATCCACCTACACAATTTTATTGTAATCGGACCGTTCGTTTTCGAGATATCGTGCTAACGGACAGACAGGCGGATGAACAGACATTGCAAATTTATGAACTGGCTAGGACACCTGAACTGTCAACAGTTTGCAAATTGGGCGTAAGATCGTTTGGTTGAGGATGGTGAATTTTACAAAAAAAAATATCTTTTCGGGCGAGCACATTTCCACCTCCATGGTTATGTTAATATTCGGTAATCTTTCCTTTCGGTAAAGTGTGATTCGGTAAAACTGCTTTTCGGTCAATTGAAATTCGACGTAGGTATTGTTCTTTCGGTATATTGCCATTTCGGTGAATTGTTTTTCGGTAAACTGTTTTCTGTAAACTTTCCGGGAGCGGAAAAAAAAACAGGGGCGGAGTCAACTTCACGCACATTTTTTGCTTATCGAAATAATGAACGTAGACGGCGTTAGTGCTGTGAAATTCCAAAAAAACAGTTTCTCAAATTCTTTCGCTACTCCTAAAAAAGTCAAGTGTGAAATTATCCCCGCCCATGAATTTTTAAGTAGGTTTTTGGTTTTCGAGAAAAGCAAAAAAATACTAAAATAAACTTGGAACACTAAAGAGTACTAACGTAGCACTAACTTTCGACACATTTTTGTCAAATTATTTCATGTGTATAACATGGGTCAGTGCTACGCTATCCCAACAAATTTAATTTACAGAGCATATAATTCTACCCTCTGGCGGCTGCCAACTAGAAGATCCCCTCTTTACTACTTCCTCCGTTTATAAAAAATAGTTTGAAACCGTTTTTGCATCCCCCATAACTGGAGCATATTATAAAGCATGATCCCAGACACTTAATTTATGAATAAGAACTCAAACCAAATCACCGAGAAATTGAGTTAAAGTTGAGGCTCGAGTTGAGGTATCCACGGGACACTACTTCTGATCTCGACTGTACATATTAGCATTTTCAAATAGGAAAGTCGACATAAACGTAACTATCCCAATTTCAGAAGGGTTTATAAATTCGTAATAAATGTCCGTGATAATAACGCATACCCCGGTTAAATGAATTGGCCCCTAGAGAAGGGGAGGAAGAAAAAAAAGGGACGTTAAAGACAAAGTTAGTAAAATGAGATGTTTTCGAAAGCGTACACTATCGATAATGGACTCGAACGAGAGCTTAATTATTTAATTAGAAGCAAACGCAAACTCTCCAACAAGAATGCGACGTTCATTTTAATTAAACTCGATAGTAGAAAGGTACGGTGCGTCCACCATTTCGAAACGGTGGAATGCTGCAATTTGCATGACCACCAGGAAAAATTGCAATGGAATTTTACTGACACAAAACAAAAAATTAATACAATTGACAATTAACTTCACTCAACGCTAATGTTATGCGAAAGGGACAACAAAATAATCAGCAAGTTTTCCAAATATTACGCTCTAATGCAAACATACACTAAACTTCAAGGGATTCTTGAAGTCGATAAAGTGCCTACACATTTTCAATTACATATTCGTAATTTGACAATAAAAATATTAGCCCCTCTAAATTATAAGCACCTGCTCAAAAATTATAAATTAAAAAGAGGGTTTGAAAGGGATTTTAATTCTCTGTTTAGCAAAGTACAGTTTTCTTTTTGATTCGGTGTAATCACAACTGGGGAAATTAATTTTGAAGGTATACAATTTTGATAATGTCTCCAACACAAGAATCACATTTAGGTATTATTTAGTGCATTTTCGTTTTAAATTAATTGTAAAATTTCATTGTTGCTATATGGTCGTAATTTCGATATTTTGGGAAAAATGATTGCACCTATCAGAGTTATTCTTACCTTACCTATAAGATTTTGATTTTTTAATTTATTTCATCCCTCTATACAGTCGCAACTCGCAAACAGTCATACCTTAACTGGGATTTGAACCCTGGAACCTTGCAACTGAAGAACATACGAACTGACTTACGCAGGTTGGCCGAAAGCAAAGATTAATTTCGCGATTTTGTAAAAGACGGTGCACATTGGAAGAGAACAAAAAGACTGTATATAACCGAAACTTATTTATAGGCTTTCTGCTTCAATTTACGTTTTCGTCGCCGGAGATACAAAGGCTTTGGCAGAGTCGCGGCTTTACATCGATCGTTCGCGAATTTGATTTTATTCTTGGCGCGGTTGGAAATTTTCAATTATTAAAGACGATAAATTATAAACAAAGGCTTACAACGAACGCATAAAATGAGGATAAAAGAATCGCACGAGCTGATTGTTACATCTCAACCTAAACGTGGTATGTATTGATTAATTGTCGTGCGGAATTTATTCATTAGAACGTTTGCTTCGATTTATAGCCTTAATCTCATTATACATCCCGTAAAAATTCGCTTTAATGAAAGGTTAGTGGACTTACTTTGCAACGTGGTCGCTGTCGAATTGAGTAATCCTTGAATACTTCTCGAGTTGTGCCTCAAAAGTGCAGAAAAATCCTTTTGTCCTTGCATTTTTAGCGCAGCTTCCGTTTCGCCGCTGCAGCACTGACCTCCGCACACTACACCTGCAACAATAAATCACGTTTTTAAATTGCAAAGCAGCCTTGTGTGATTCAATTCTGATTAACGTTCCAAAATCGTCAGGTAGCGATTAAATATGTGACCAAGAGATGTCAAAATCTTTATTTATACCGCATGCATTTCGTTGGGACAACGCCCAAACGCATTTTTTCGAAGCCCAAGAAGTGAATTTATGACAACGTGATTTCATAATCAGTATGGATGCACTAGTTTCTTTGAAAACTCGTCGAAACGTGTTAGGTTTACACATAATTTTTCCTGAAACTACAATCAAAATTGAATAATTATCGTATGCAATAATGACGTTTGACACATAGGCATAGCAATCTAGATACGAGTATGTATCAATTTTAATGTCATTATTACTAAGATTAAGGCCGCAATTGTTTTTACTTTCCTCACTAGAAAGGAAAATTGCATTTTCTTCACCCTTTTTAAAGATGAAAGTATGTTGTTTTTAAAGTAGTTTCAGAAAAAATACAATTTTTCAACAAATTGCGATTATTTCTGGGTAATTGGAGTATGCCTCATACATTTTTAAATTGACACTTTCATTTGACACAATTTATGAAAAAGAAACAAAATTTAAAAAAAGCAAAGTAAAACTATGATGGCAGCGAAAAAAGATCAAACGCCAAAAAAATGACGAAATTATAAAACTGTACTTAATAGCATATTTCGAAAACTAACAATTGTTAGACAAATTTACGCTTAGTTTTTGTACTTAAGACACCGTTATAAAAATAGGGGATCTGCATTTAACAAACCCTCAATTTTAACGATCCCTTCAATTTAAATAGTAATGTTTTTGAACCTCTTGTATATTTCTTTATAATCGAAATATCAACACAGTGCAATAAAACTTCTTAAAAATCTGGCTACAAATTTAACTCTTCAGCCTCATTACTCGAAACCTTTCTAGAGAAAACAAGAGAAACTTGGAAAACTATGGGAATTGAAGCAGATCTGAGCATTTTTCGGTGGACCTTATACGTTCTAGTTATTTATCCTCGAGGAAAAAAATGTTAAATTTCGTTGTACGAGTAGACACATTAAACAAAAGGCTTCGCGTCTAATTTTTTACGATCGTCTGTTAATTATATGCGGCTTTTTTGGATTGAAACTTTGCAGATGACGCGCCGTTCCGTAAACTATTGCAAAAAAAGAGAGACGAAAATCTTAAACTGGATTTCCGATTAGCGCCGGTTGCCCGCCGAGAATGTTGACACAATACACCCCTCGTCAACGCGCTCGTTTATTGTAACAGATTGAAAGACATTTATTTTCCATTTTGGTTTGTCGCGCTCGCTTCCAAAATATAATTTTCGTTTTTTTACTTTCAAAGAAAAATAAATAAAAATTTCGTCGAGGAAATTGAACAATATTTCAAAAAGACGAAAGGGGTAGGGAATTAGTAACGGTTCTTCGGCGAGAGAACAAAATTAAACACCCACGCGACCCTCATTTTAATAATGAATCTGTTTTGGATACTGCCACGGGTAAATTCGTGTTAATGTCATAATTAACGTACAAAAAAACGTGAGAGATTGCGTGATGTTAAAAAAGAGATCCGCTTCTTCCCGATTTTGCAATATTTGTCCCATTTAATCGACCGTACGAAATTGAGTAGTATCGGGTCACTTTTTTCCTGATGTTATGCCGGCTCGCCGCACCCATTTTTTTGACGTCCCAATTCACGATTAATAGGCACAGATAAGAACGATACGTTGTAAAAAATTACTTGCGAAAGAAGACGTTTGCTCGAACCGAATTCGGAGCTCTTCTTTACGTAATTTAATTTTCGATTAAGCGCTTTCTGCCAGCGACTTTTCCGGTTTTCGGGCTAAGGTTTTTATTAAGGTACAATTTTGTATTTTACATCCGCAACTCCTTTGGGTGGTAAAGTATCATTCGAAGGGTCGTAAAAAATATTTACGATTTTTCGTGCAGCGCTACCCTTTCGAATCGATCCGGGCGTAATGTTGACAATTTAAAGTTAAAATGGAAATCGTTCGTCCTGCTATATACCCTAATTTATGACAATTTGGTGGATCAATCGCATTTACTACTAAAAATACACACTCCGGCAAAAGGTTTATTTCGACCGTGTACGTCGCACTATCCCCCTCCTAAAAACGTAATCGTAATAGCTTACAGTATAATATTAATTCCAATAAGCCTATTAAGGGAGTAATAATGTCCGGAACCACTACGAAAGCGTGGTGAGGGCAGTAAACATGATAGGGGAGGTTAAAGACGAGCCGCCGTCCTTAACAATTGTAGTTTGAGAGACAACAGCAAGAGTGTAGCCACGTGGAACGTACTAGGGGCAAACGACCCAAAGAAACGGAAGCTAATTGACGACGAATTAAGAAATCAGGAAATAGGAGGCTGAGCGAAATAATAAAGCAAAAGAGCGGAAGATAAGGCTGGTCACTATTGGCATAAACTTAACGCAACCCCACACAGTGTAACGTAAATTTAATCGCGTGCTTTATTTATTTACAATTAATTAACAATAAATTTATAAAAAGAATTGATTTATAACAACCAAAATATTATTTATCACTCACATATGAACAATTCATAACAGCGCGAACTATTTATTAGTTATTACTTCGGCGTTGAAATTTGAACTGCACTGAAACGCAGTTTGATTTGCTTATGTGTATAGCAAACCCGAGTGCGCCCGAATAGTGCCGAACATTCTATAACAAATACGTCATATTTCCGGAAAAGATTACATCACATCGGCCTTCGTACTTTTATCGCCTCGATGTGTATTGCGATTTCTGAAATATTCGCTACACTATGAAAATATTTCTTCAAAGAAATTTTCTTAGAAATTTCTGTAAAGATTTTCTACAATCTTAGAAATTTCCTTTCATATCTTATAAATCAGATAAATCCACCTGAAAATATTACTATAATTGTTTTTAGAAAAGATTTTGTCTTGGGTGGAATCGTCGCGGAAACCCACGTACAACCAAACGTATTATATCTACATTTTCAAGGAAAGTTGTTCAGCGTCGCCAACGGTGCAGATATAAAAGAAAATAGTAGATACTGTTTGATATTTCACTTAATTATATTACTTGTAGCTGATGACATATAGAAAAAGGCTTTTACTTAATGTAAAACTATAGAGTTCATTTCGGGTATGTTTTTGACAAGTTCGTGAAAAGAAAATTATTTTCCCTTTCATGTAATGTTTCCACGTGTGTTGTTTTACTTTATGCTGACGCCGCTTCGTTACAATCGAGTTCTCTTTGTTTGGGGTCGTTAATGGGGAAAATTTCGCACAACAGAAATTTAGACACGAGTTTTCATTTAAGAAGTCACAAAGGAAATGAGACGCACCGTAGGTAACTAAACAATTCGACTCGATATTCATTACAATCGTTTTCCCACAGTATATGACATTAATATAGAATTAATCGAAAATTCTACACCGTTGCAAAACCTTTCCGAGAGCGTTCCAACTTGCTTTCTGTCTTAAGGTTTATAACCCAGCCTGGGGGAGATAGTGAAGCTCGAGGGAATCACGTTTCATTTAAAATATCAATTCTCGTTAGATTTTGGTAAAATTAACGACTAACATTTTGTTGTAGAGATATGAGCAAATGAAGATCTTTTTAAAACGCAGTGTTGACACTGAAGGAAAGGATGTCAAAACCATTGAATATAATAAAATTAAATAGGGCCATATACAGAATACTTAAAGAACTCAACACGCCCACATAAAACTCCTCCGGCATAATTTTCTAAACTTCCATATAAGGATATTGTTCTAGATGAAGATAATTAATCTTTTAATTAGTGTAAAAGGGGAGAACTTCAACTGCAATCGGGAATAAAACGGCGCTTCGCCTTCTCAAACTTTTAATTCAAATGCGAAGAGGAACTTTCGACAAACACTCACGTGAGGGAGGGCAAACTTTATCCCTTTCAAAATGCTAATATTAACGATACATGAACTATACACGAACGCCAAAAAGAAACGAAATAGGTCAGGTGGCAAATCATTTTCGAAAAACCATAAAGGCGGCGCACATTCGTCATTCTAACGCCGGCTTATCCTTATATGGGCGAAATGCAGCTGCGCAACTCTTTATTTATTGCCATCTTATGCAAATGGATAAATTTAACATTATAAATTCCTTTCAATTTAGACGATCGTTTAATCGGTAAAACTCCTACGCCATCTTATTTCGGTCCTTTGGAAAAGAGGTTATTAAATAAACATGGAGCTGGCCGTGGAGAAATTTGCCGTTTCTTAGCGTCAGACGAAGCGAAATGCACCGAAACGGTAAACTTTACACATGCAAATTACTCGCGTCGCGTTACTTGAATATATTAAGCTGCATTTACATCAAATCATCATTGCAAATTTGATTATGTACTTGATTTGTTTACAAATTGACACCATTCATTGCCATATTGTACTTACTCAGACGGATTCGTGCCAAATTATTTCACAACTCGACGTATAATAATATCCATTGATTACAAAATTTGCTGCCTATCCAAAAATAGTCGAATTTTGACTAAGAGCAATATGTACCTACTATTTTTGCTATCAGCATTGTGTTGCCCAAACTGCGGTGAAGATGTTTTCCTCCCATCCTTAAGAGGTCTTCATCATCCGTATTCCATTTGTCAAAAGGAAAAACTAGATAAGTTAAAAACAATTGCAAAAACGCCAACTTAAATAGCTAGGGAATGAGGATTCTAATTTTTCCAAGAATATCCTTGTATTATCGTAATTTCAGAAATGATAAACTTTATCTTTTCAAAATTCCATTAAAATTTCGGTTCAAAAGTGGACCAAAATTTATAATGCATTTTTAAAAGAATTTTCTGAAATTTCTATAGAGACGAGACAACTACTTTGATCTCTAAAAAGATGAAGAAAATGTGATTTTCCTCTCTAGTGAGGAAAGTAAGAAACAATTGCTGCGTTAAGTTTTAATACTGACATTTA